ACTCTACACTTGCTTTTGTTAAACCTCATCCGGTTTCTTTCTGCCCAGCTCTCCAGCCTGTCCAGGTCTCATTGAATGGCAGCACAGCCTTCAGGCGTGTCAGCCAATCCTCCCAACTTCGTATCATCAGCAAACTGATCCCTTCATCAAGGTCATTGGTGAAGGTGTTGAACAAGACCGGACCCAGCACTGACCCCTGAGGAGCACCGCTAATTACAGGTCTCCAATCGGACTCTGCACCGCCAACGACGACCCTCTGTGCTCTGCCAGTCAGCCAGTTCTCAACCCACCTCACTGTCCACTCATCTATCCCTCACTTCCTCAGCTTTGTTATAAGGATGTTGTGGGAGACAGTATCAAATGCCTTGCTGAAATCAAGGCAGACTACATCTACTGCTTCCCCCCATCCACCCAGCCAGAGACAACATCACAGAAGGCTACCAGGTTGGTCAAGCACGACCTCCCCCTGGTGAACCCATGCTGACTACTCCTGATAACCTCCTTTTCTTCCAGTTGTCTGGAGATGGCATCCAGCACAAGCTGTTCCATCACCTTTCCAGGGACAGAGGTGAGGCTGACTGGCCTATAATTGCCTGGATCTTCCTTCTTGCCCTTTTTGAAGACCGGAGTGACACTGGCTATCCTCCAGTCCTCAGGCACCTCCCCCATTCTCCAAGACCTCTCAAAGATGACAGAGAGTGGTTCAGCAATCACTCTGCCAGTTCCCTCAGCACACGTGGATGCATCCCATCGGGTCCCATGGATTTGTGAACACTGGTGTTGCCCAGGCGCTCTCAGACCACCTCTTCCCTGACTAAAGGGAAGTCTTCCATTACCCAGAACTTTTCACTAACCTCCAGGGTCTCAGATTCCCGAGGGGGAAAGAAAAGTAGCCACAGTGACCTCCTTGTCACCATGGGCAGCTATAGGGCCACTCATTAGTCTCTGTTCCGAAGCTTCTCCAGTTCTTTCACCCCCTTTACTTCCATACATGTCACATATTTTTGTGACATCCTATTATAACAACCTGAGCATACAAACAATAATATTACATTAGCAATCCGACAAAATCCTAAGAGCAGCATAACAACAGTCCACAATACTTGGAGGAGCTAGAATAATATTATTTTTCTTCTCACCTGGTAAAACTTTGTGGAGATTTGTTTCCTCATGAAGATTGAGCAAGTAGAATCCAAAGAAAATTGTAATTTACTCACCATCAGAGAACAAAGCGTTACAAATAGAATCCATGAGGCTCATTTCAATATTACACTGACATAGCTAATTTCTGTAACTATGCATAAGCTCCCAGTCCTTCAGACTTGTCCCACATGACCTACAGAAGCATGTTCTATAAGCCCCTTCAGTGGGGCTCATATTCTTTTAGCAGACATTCCTTTGAAAGAAAATTAAATATTCTATTGTTAATTTTACAAATATTTATTATTTTTTTTAATGAGCTCTAACTGAATATTCTTCCTGAAATGCTGTTAAAAGTGTTAACCTCTATTTCAAGTCTGTAGCTATTAAAATTATTTAAACAGATTAAATGATTACTGCTCAGTGTCTTCCCAAATATCACAGGGTGTTCCACAGAAAATGAGTATTGAAAGACACTCAACATGTGGAATCCTTTCTGAGTGAGGTGAACTTATATGGGAAATGTGTTGATGCATCTCTACAGTACTCATTTCTAAACAAATAAGATTCTACATTTTCCTTTGGTTATGCTTCCTCAAGAACTGATCTTTCCAATACTAAAGAATGCTCAAAAAACATCCCCAAACTAACTCAGCAAAAATGTATGTAGAAAATCTGTCAAAAATAAATAGGAAGCCTTTGGTTCTCAAAGCTGTTAAAATGTAATTTAACAAAAGGAGCTGTAAGAATGTAGTTTCTTAGCAGTAGTAAACAATTCCGAGGGAGCAATTACATACAAAAATGAATGTAATGTGTTTTGACTTCAGTGAGCTATGCAAAAATTGTATCTGGTGTGTGACAAACATAGAAAGTTATATTAGGAATTTTTAGTTTTCAGTTCATTAAAAAGTAGGAGAGATTTACACAAGTGCAAACAGTCTCTGTAATTTCAGTGGTTTAGAGAAGTATCTCAATAATTTACAATTTTCCATTAAAAAAAATGCAAAGATGGAAAATCGTGGAGAGACTAAGAAAGGCTGAAGAATATTTCTGATAAAGATTCTAAGTGCATGTAATAATTCACATATGAGATATAATGTTACAGTAAACAATACAGCTTCACTGAGAGGCACATTTGGCTGCTGCCTTCACAAACATATCAACTGGACCAATATTTCCAGCGTTCATCAATACTCTGTAACACTTCTGAATAAGTCATCCTCCCCTCTATTTTTTAAAATTTCTTCTCTTACAATAACTGAACTCAAACCATAGTTATTTCTTAAAAATTCAAGTTCAGTAGAATTTTCCTGTACTATAAGTCTCCTATTTTTCTCCATTAAGTTCCATCCTTTCTGGTTCAGTAAGACTCTATATTGTGTTTACCGAATGAAGAGGATGAGGAAAAAGATGGGTTTTCATTATCCTTCGAGATAAAGCTAAACGGGCCTACTTAACAAATACCATTGACTAATTGGAAATCCAGCACAAAAGTGCCACTTGGAATAAACGCTGATTGGTTACGTATTTCAAAGGTTGCCTGAAATTCCTGTTGAAACATGATGCTACTTACATTCAGAAATATACAGCTCACACAGTAGGACTTCCAACAAGAGAATAAATTCTGCCTAATCCATTCAGGAGGAACATAGCCCCTCAGTGTTTCACCCCGGGAACTGGGTTGGACTCGATAGAAACACTCAGAATTTCAGAGCATCCTGTCCATGGCAACTGCAGAGGCAGTGGGGTCAGAGCATTGGAAGGTTTTGTATCTTGCCCGTCAGGAGGGGAAATATAGGAGTTGAAAGTATCTAATAATGGTGGGCCTTTTTATTCAGTTTATCTCCTTAAAAATGTGCTCAGGGAGAACACTCCTTTCAAGGCCTCCTTTATTTGTTGGAGTCACACACTGACTGAAGACCCTGCAAAGTTTAGAGACAGAAATGCATTACAGGATTATTTTTTTGTATGTTACATGTTGGACAACTCTGGGCAGATGAACAGTACTAGAAAATAAGACCAGAGAATCCCTTGTTGAATGTCTTTTTCAAGGTAGAGTGACCTTGTCTGTGAAGCCCACAATATATTAAGCAGAGAATGACATGTTAGTCTTGAATGTGAACTGCTGTCAAGTGGATTTCTCAAGTTCATGTAGTTTTCTACACAATAAAAAAGATGGAAAACATAAAACAAAGAGGTATTAATCTCTGTGTTAATACATAACTAAGTGGCACACACTTCCTTAAACTTCAAGCAGTTATTACTGCAGCTGTTATGCTTCAGATAGCTATTGACAAGACACTTCTAGTGATCAGCCTAACATAAAAT